GAGTATCCGATAGTCAGTGGTAGTTCTGGCATTCAAAGGCTTGTTTGCGTTGGTGAGGGTAAATTCTAGTCCTACTAGCACGGACCCGTTTAAGCATAGTCGTACAGTGAGGTGTCAGACAGGAATTCATCGAATTCAACTGTGTTGTGCAGATGCCAATAGCAATTGCAATATTTATAAGTTGACATTTTATATGTCAGTTTTGCTGACCACAGTGGCTAAAACGTGAAATGCAATGCGAGCAGAAGAGGTGCTATTCCCTTACCATCGCAATGCCATAAAACGTTGATCGATTTCTCAACATGTCAGGATGAAGGGCATGGACTCTACCCACATTCGCAAGCTGTAGAATTTGACCAGCGTGATGAGCACTCTTTTCGAGTTGAACAAGCTTATCGCAGTCTTCGTTTACCTCTTCTTTTTGTACCCTGAATTACCTTTATGCACAATTTGTGTCACCCCCATAATTTCCCATTTGGTTTGCTGCAATTATCTTAGATTTCTCATCCCCTCCTGCTCTCCATCCTCCTCGACACAACGACTCACCACCAGCCTTAGGAAAACTCAATCTTTTGGGGGGCGAGTCATAAACAATTATGTATTCATTTATTTGGATAAGTTGGTTAATTACTTATTGAAGCCGAACAAAGCCTTAAGCACATACACGCAGGTAGTAAGTGGAGGCGTGTTAATCTGATCGACGGTATGCGGTTGCTGCAGAAGCCGTGCCCTCCGTGTCGTGTCTGAATACCTTCGGTGACTGAGCATGAGAAACTTGCATTGAAGTGAGTTTGTCTAATGAACTGGAAGGCGTGTGGCTGCATCGCCTCTTTTTGTCAGGTAGAAGTAATGCGGATGTGGAGCACGATGGCTTTGTTTAGCATCGCAACATATCCGATGAAAATGTCACCAAATGGGGATCTTGATAGTACCACTCCTTCCTTGTAGACTAGAAAGTGACGACATTTTTTACCGCGATGAAGGAAGCTGGGGAACCACATCTGCGTGTGATGTGCGCAGAAGAGGAGAGGCAGATGGAGTGGATAGAGATGCAGGGGAAGCAGGTGTTTCCTACTACGATTGGGGCATTTCATGGGAGGGTGAGCATGTGCGTGTTTGTGTGATGTGTATGTATGCATCTGGGGTGTGTGTGCGGGTGTGGGTTATCGTTTGTGATGTTGTGCTTGTGCATAGAAAACACTTTTTACTCCCTCTGATGAGATGACCACTTCAAAGGAAGTGGTTTATGCGGCACTTTAGATGTGCATGCGTTTGGAAAGATATGCAAAGGTGAGGCTTGATGTGAATAGCCAGTATGATGCTCATTTCATAGCCGAATTGCTGGTAATGTAATAAGTAGAGTCTTTCTAAGTAACCAAGACAAGCCTGACATTGTTGAGAGAATACAGACTGATCTATACACCCATGCTAGTATTCATATTAGTAAAATGTCAATGTTACCTAGGTTGCTATGATTAGGTATATTATGCACTACTCAAATGATCAATATCCCCATGTTGCTATGTGTGGATGTATTTTCCTTATGTTGGGATGGTCTTCATATCCATGTCCTTGTATGGGGATGCATTTTTGTGTTAATGAGACAGTCTGTACAACCATATTTTAATAAGTGGGTGTAGTTTCAAATAATTGAAATGGTGTGCATACCTATTTTGCTATGCAATTACCCTATATGCCTATGGTAAGGTGTGTATGGATGTGTTCGGTGATATCGAATTGATCCACACACCCATTCTGCTGTTTGTGGATGCATTCTGGTATTACTGGAATAGTGCCTGCACTAGTGTTGTTATGTGTGAATATGTGTATTCACATTATTGATCTGGTCCATGTTTTATGAATGGTAGTTTTTTTATCAATGAGACGTCCAATGCATCCGTTTCGACACTTTCAAATGCATATTTTTGTTTTTATGTGCCTCTCATGCACATGTTTGTATGTGCTATTTAGATGGCCAAAGTACCCGTTTTGGCATGTGTGGATGAATTTTGTATCATTGAGATCGTCTGCGTATCCGTGTTGGTGTGCGTGGATGCCTTGTGCATGCTAGACTTGATCTATGCGCTAGTATGTGTGAAATTTTATTTCAATATTAAAATGATCTGCATACCTTTGTTGCTATGTGTTTACGCTATTTTGTCATAGTCTCCATGAG